TGCTGTGGGCCAGTGGCTTGGGGTGGGCGTTACAGGAGCGGGCGCTCTCTGCTCCCCTGCTCTTTCCCGCCCGCTTTTTCTGCAAAGCCCAGGGGTACAGAGTGGCTCCTCTGAGACTAAGCCTCGCCTTCCCTTTGCCGAGGCCAGGCCAGCTACCTTGGCCATTGTGGGCTCCTGGAGTGCCGGGCGCAGAGGAGGAGATAGGAGTGACCACCTGGGTTGCGGGGATGCTGGCCCGGGCTGTTGCAGCATCCCCAGCTGGGGTGCAGTGTCAGCCGCACCCGTCTGCAGCAGCTCCCGGAAGCTTGCATGTTCCTCTGAAAACATCCTGCCCTGAGGGGCGTTCACCTCAAGAGGAGGAAAGGAAATGCAAGTAAATGAGAGCGCAGAAACCGCTCAGCCCAGGACGTGCAGGTTCCGAGGGGCCTCAGGGCCAGGCCGGCCTGACCCGCACAGTGCTGCGGTTTGCAGAGGCTGCGCAGGCACCTCAGTGCTCACGTCAGTCCTCACCTCCACCGCAGTGGCCACTACCTGAAGTGGAAGCCGCATGTGCGACTTGGCAGCTGTCGCTCTCTGCACAGCCACCATGGCAACAGTCCTGTGCCTGGCAGGCGGGCTCCTGGTCCAGGTGGGCGGGGCCTGGCCGGCTGCTTGGCCACAGCTCTGTGCTCCTTGGTGGGCGTGGGCCACACGGCCTGCGGCATGCTGGGGGCGAAGAGCTGACGGGCTGTCCTCTGGGGAGAGCACTGTGTCCTGGGCAGCAGGGCCCGGAGCGAGGCTGGAAGGAAGAGTGTGCAGGGCTCCCCTAGCCTGGCTCCTTTGGCATCTGCAGAGGTAGGAGTAGGAGGAAGCCACAAGTCCAGGCCTGCCCACTGGGTCCCTTGGGGAGGTCTGGGGCCCTGGCCCCTGCTAGGGACAACCCCAGGCCTTGGAGAGCATCCCACTCAGCAGTGCCTGGGCACCGGAGCTTCACTGATGCACAGGTCCGAGTAGCTGTGGGACTCCCCAGTGGGCCCCGGAGCTGGGAGGCCAAGCCCTGGAACTTGGCTCTTGGCAGTACAGGGAAGAGAAGTATGATCTAAAAGGGTCCTTCGAGTGGGCTGCCTGTGAGCCCACAGGGAAGGCAGCCTTCAGGGAAGGCAGGCTGAGGCTTGCACAATGCATCACAGGCCAGGTGGCCCAGCACAGCCCTCTTTGGACAGGAACCACATTAGCCAGCAACAGCCCTGCTTCCCACTGGTCGTCCTCACTCCCAGCACATAAGAGCAGGAGAGGATGGGCATAGGAGGCAGCCCTGGGTCTCAGGCGTCAGGCAGGGTGTTCCCAGCTTCCCACAGCCTCTCCACGGCAGCTGAGCCCATGTGTGGCCCCCACTGGAGCCCTTCACCCAGTGCCACCGCTGTGTTCTCCCCAAACGCTGCTCATTCTGGTCCCGAGCCACCCTCATTGCTAGAGATGTCACCTTGAAGGCCTGGCTCCAGTTCTTTCAGTGAAAATGGTTCAGGGCACAGTCTCAGACACCAGGGAGGGCAAGAGGCAGAGATGCAGGCTGCACCGTGTGGTAGCTCGGCACGTGGCAGGGAGGGCAGGCATGGGGTGATGCCAGGCTAGGAAAGGCCCCCAGCCAGGAGGAAGTCTCTGGGCCTGAAGGAGGATGGGAATTTGGGAGCTGGTTGTGCCAGGTGGCGGAAGATGGGTCCAGGTAGAAGCAGCCAGTCACCCTCACCCCAGGCTGCAGTACAGAGCACGGGGAGGAAGAAATGAGGGTGGCATCCTGAGGACCCTGAGAGATTGCGTGGGGGCCAGCGCTGACAGGCAGGCCGTGAGGTACAGTGATAAGTGAGGTGGGAAGGACAGGGCCTTCCTCGAACAGGTTGTCACACGTGGCGTGTGTATGTATTACTTGGCCTCACCGGTGAAGAAAATCATACCTGTCTGTCCAGGCCAGCATCTGCCCCAGAGGAGCGCCTCTCGGGGCTGCAGCCCAGGGCTGGATGAGGAGCCCCCCAGGAGAGACCAGGAGGGGAAGCTGAAAGCTGGGGAGGAAAGCGTGGGTAGAGGTGCGGATGCAAGGAAGGGCTGGGCACCCAGGCAGAGGAGGAGCGGGCCTGCTGGCCAGGGCTTGGGGACGATGTTCAGCTGTCATTGCCAGGTAGGCCAGAACCCCTGTCCCGAGGGCCCCAGAGCCTTGGAGAAGCACTGCTTGGCTGCAGAAGGGGAGACTGGCTGCTGTTCTGCAGTGAACGCGGGGCCTTTTCAGTGGAGAGGTGGCCTCAAAGCTCGGCCAGTTACTAGCTGAGTGACCTCGCACTTTAGCTCCCTCGCCTGTTAGTGGGGACGTCCCTGTACCTGCATACTCAGAGGTGCTATTAGGAGAATCAGGGTGAAACTCCCCAGAGCCCAGGCCCAGCAAGGCCTGCATGTGGTAAACACTCAGCTGCCGAGAGATGCTGCCCCTGCTTCAGACCTTGAGTGGCCAGCTCTCAGCAGGCCTTGTCACCTGCTGGCCAGCTGCATGCCTACCTGCTACCATCCCTGTCCCCACCACCGGGAGCTGCTGGGCAGGGCTGGCTCAAGCCTTGAAAGTTGTGTCAGTCCAGAGGAAACAACAACTTTCTTCACTGGGAAAGTGATGTGGGGCCCAAGGCCGTGGGGGTTTTCAGAGCCAACCGTCAGAGGCGAGGGAGTTTCTCCAGCGGTGGCGGGGCCCAGCGTGCACACAGCCGAGAGCAGCAGACCGCTGCGGTCTGCAGGGAAAATGCCGACTGTGTTTATTTTTCATCTGAGCCTGCAGGAAGTGGGGGTGACGGGAGGGGGCTGAGGCAGGCCGGAGCACGACTTCTGGGCAGAGGAGACCTTCTTGGGCTCCCCTCGGTACCACCACTTGCCTGCGTGGCAGGAAGGCTCCCTGAGTGACTGCCTGAGAAGAGGGGAGCCCCTGGGGCGTGGGCTTCAGTTTGTGGCAGTAAGCACCCTTGAGCAGTAAGAACATCTCCTCCCCTCCTGAGCAAGCTCGGTCACTAAGCACACTAAGCACTGCTGGAGGCTGCGGACCCTGCAGCCTGATGAGGGATGTGGCCCATGCTCAAGTCTGCTTGGAGTGTCAGCTGCAGCCTGGCCGGAGGAGTAAGGAGGTGAGGTGGTGCTCCGGCACCCCAGGCCTGGTGCAGACAGCAGCCAGCCCACGCTACCTCCTTCTTGGGGCGGGGCTGGGCCTCGCAGTCACTACGCTTCCTGACACTTGCCAGGCCTTCAGGACTCTGGTGACCCTGCCCTACCCCCAATCTGGGAAGCCTGGCCCCAGGCAGCCTTGTGCCTGACCCCTGGAGCAGGACGTTCCTCTGGCCAAGGGGCCAGTGAGGCAACTGGCAGCCTGCGTGAGCGTAGGAAGCGCCAACCTGGCCCTCGTGGCTGCCCTGTCCCCTGGCCCTCCTAGGCCTCTAGTTGCTGGCTGCAGACTCGAATAACACTGTCCCCCACTTCCCGAGGAAGGCTGGTCAACAGGAGGAGCCCCTCGCCTACACGTGCGTGGCAGGCCTGGGGCTCAGGTAGTAAAGCTTGACCCCAGCCAGGCTCAGCACAGCACCCACAGCTAGGAGCCTGCACCTGCCGAGGGGTAGGCCGGTCTTCAGGCTGGGAAGAACTCTAGGCAGAGCAGAGACCCTGCGGCTGTCTCCCCAGAGCTGGCACCTGGTTCCCGATCCCAGCTTCCCTCCAAGCTGTGCGGGCCTCCTAGGTCCTGAGACCCGAAAGCCAGGGCCAAGGCCTGGACCTGGGCTTGCTCTGAAGCAGGAGCGGGGACTCAAGCCCCTGGCTTGTGCGGGGACAAAGGAGGTTGGGATAAGGCATGTGCACCTGGAGGCGGTGGTTGGTGGAGCACTGGCTGCCAGGTGGGCCTGGAGCACAGACAGCACTGTCCTGGGGATCTGGCTGGATGAAAGGCCCTCAGGGCTTTCCAGGCAGCTTCCTGCTTCAGTAGCTCCAGCTCTGCTCCCCGAAACTCTGGGATGGGGCGGGACTGGGTTGCCCAGATGAGAGAAGGGAGATGAGCGCATGGGGAAAGGTCTGCAGAGGGGCCTACAAAGGGAGGTGAGGTGCAAGGTGGAGCTGGCACTGGGTTGCAGACAGCTTCAGGGTGCCTGGCCAGTGCCGCCCACCTGTCTCCGTGGCCGGCCACTCTTGGGCACATCACCCCTGTCCCCTTGGGATGGGTGGCTGGGGCAGGGTGTACCTCACAGCCTGGAGGGAGGGACGCAGGGGTTTTGCGTAGGCCCTCGTTGGGAGGTAAGGAAGGAGCCTGTGCCCCCTTGGGGCACTCACACCGTGCCACCCATCTGTCCTCAGCCTGGACCCTCTGAGTCAAGTGCTGGGGCACCTTCACTGAACCCCCTCATTACCATTAGGCCACAGCCTCGAGTTCCTGTCTGACCCAAACGTCCCCATCTCTTCTGAGGTGGGATTGGGGTTGTTCACCTGCACTGGCAGCTGTAGCAGCCTTTGCTGATGGGAAGCCCAGCAGCCCCGTGCACACTGGGTCACAGCCATCGGACACCTGGCAGCGACTCCCCATGACTGGGCCTCATGGGGACTGGACAGGCTGGCCATGGAGGGAGCCGGGCCCCTGCCCTGGGTCAGTACCCAGTGGGCGCACGGTGGGCCGGGGCAGATGCAGCCAGCTTGGCCTTGGAGCCAAAGAGGGAAACATTTAGACCCTGCGGTCTGAGGCTGGAGGCCTGGTACAGTCCTGCACATATGCTGCTGGGAAACTGGGGGGTCCCTGGTACCAACAGGCCAAGGTGACTTAGCTGGACAGGAGCAACACACCTTCCCAGCCTTCCGAGGCTCTGCAGAAGTGGGACCTCCTGGGCTGGGCAGCAGCGGGCAGGAAGACTGCGCTGTGGACACAGTGCGGGTCTCTGCCTGTGCCTGCGCCTGCGCCTTCACCCCATGCTGCCTCCCCTGGGGACGCCCCACACTCACCTGCCTCTTCTCATTTCCAGCACAAGGCCAGCCAGCCCCCCCACAGCGTCCCCCAACTCTCTCCTCTCTATGAACATTTCAGCAGCCCGCACCCCACTCAGGCCCCTGCAGACATCGGCCAAAAGCAAGGTACGGCCTGGGTGGGGGGCGGGCCTGAGCAGACCCGAGGCCCACAGAACATGCCAGAAAGATCACTAGGGATCTGGGGATACCAGAAGGTGGGGGAGGTGGCTCCGGGTTGCAGTGTGACAGCTCGTGGCCAGCCTCAGAGCAGCCTGCCTGCACCGCGCACGGTGAAGCTGGTGGCCCTGCCCCACCCCCCCAGCGTGAAAATGGAAAGTGGTGGTTGTGATGGCTGATTCACCTCAGCCTCGGCTCAAGTCATTCTGAAATCCACCGCTGTCAGCTGTGGGAAAGCTGCTGATTCAACCCGGAGCCAAGCGGTACACGGCTCTGCAGGCCGGGTCCATCCAGTCCAGGGGCCCTGCCTCCTGTCCCAGAGCCAGACAGTGGAGCAGGCAGCAGAGGGAGGAAGGACCTTGGGGTTCCCTGTGAAGGCTCCTTACCTGGTCCCCGTCCCTTCCCACCGCAGGCGTTCACAGGCCTCTGCAGACTCCTGAGCTCTCTGGCTTCTACTCTCTGACCTCAGGCAGCATGGGACAGCTTCCCCACACCGTGAGCTGGTGAGTGCACCCCAGCCGCGGAAGGGCCAGCTGGAGCTATACCTGCCCTCCACCTTCCTCGTTCATCTCTGTGCCGTGTGCCCCACAGCCAGTCCTGAACCAGGGGTTCTCATGGCTTCCTGGACAGGCTGCAGGTACCTTGCCCCTTCCTCCAGGGAGACGGGAAAGCTGGCTGTTGGTCCATGCTCTGTAGCACCCAAGCTCTCCCTCCTGGGAGAACTCTGGGCCGTTCAGGGCCCACAGAGCTGTGAGTAGGTGAGGAAGAGAAGGTAGGCCAGAGAAGGGGCTCCCTCTCTCAGCTTCCTGTGGCAGGCGATGCTTCCCCTGGCCGCAGTGCTGGTTAGCCCCTTCCATAGTAGCTGCTCCAGGAGCAGGGTCCCTTGGTGCCTGCCTGAGGGACGGGCCTGTTTGCTGGCTCTCCCGAGGCATGGCCAGGAGGCAGGCTGAAGCTGCAGGTCAGCAGGCCTAGCTGCAGGCTAGAGGAAATGCCCTCAGCTAGAACTGGGCCGCAGCAGGCCAGCTGGCCTTTTGCTCACGGACCACAGTGTGACTGGTCAGTCTCCAATCTCTGGGCTGGGACAGAGGCCAGCTTCTCAGGAAGACAGGGTGTCAGCCCCTTCGCACGGCCTCTTCACCCGTGGCCAGCCTCCGCTCCATTTCCAGATCCTCTGCACCAAGGCCCATTCTAAGTACAGACGAGGAGTAGCACAGCTTGGCACAGCTCTTTGGAGCCCTACAGGCCTGGGCATAGAGGCGGGGTGTTTACCCACGAGGCTCTCCTGAGCATCTCGTGGCCCGGGGAGAGTGGCCCCCTGTGTTCTCAGCTCCTTCAGGGGGCACTTGGCTGGTGGGAGAAAAGCTGGGGTGTTTTGTTCGCCTCTGCACTGAGCACTGCCGTGTACCAGGCCAGATTCGGCGCCCCAGAGAAACACCACAAAAGCTGACTGGTCCTTAGGTTCCTGCCCTGTTTGCCTCGTGAATGCCCCAGGTGAGGAGCCAGGCAGTGATAGGCACTGCTGGCATCACTCTGGGACCTGTAGGAGCCCACCAAGGGGCTCCCATCCAGCTTGGAACCTCTGGGCTTTGGGGGAAAAGGTGTCACCGAGCTACACAACACCTGAAGGGTAGTTGACACAGGCAAATCGGGGGGCGTGAAGGCCCCAAGACCAGCGTCAGCTCTGTGCTGGCAAGGAAACCTAGGATGCTTAGTCAGGACCCAGAAGGCTGCCACCTCCACCCCTTCAGCACCCCTTCAGGTGGGCAGGGAGAAATTCGAGTGGCACACACTGCCCCCTGGTGGCAGATGCTTGAAACACATGGGTGCCATCCCAGCAGAAGCCCATCTGGCTCCAGGTTAGGGTCAGGCCAAGCAAGGTGTGAAAGCCCGCCCCCGGCTCGGCTGGCAGCCACACTGCTAACAGCTGTCTCTCCTGACCACAGGCCCAGCCCTCCTCTCTACCCCCTGTCCCCTTCCTGCGGATATAGACAGCACTTCCCTGCCCCCACCGCAGCCCCTGGCGCCCCCTACCCCAGGTGAGTCCCCTACCCCCGCAGCCAGGCCCCTGCTTCCTGTTGCCCAGGCTTCAGTGCCCACACAAGGCCACGCTCAGGCTAGTGCTTATCCTGTGTTAGTCGTTCGTCCATCTGTCCGTCTGTCATCCTGCAGCCCCCTGCTGCCCTGTGCCTCAGAACGAAGCTCGGACTCTAAGAGGCTTCAGCCATGCCAGAGAGGCAGAGCAGGACAGGGGCGAGGAGACAGGCAGGCAGGCACGCACGCAGCGGGGCAGAGCAGGGCCCAGGGGCCCAGAAGGGCACAGAAGGGCACAGCATGGCCAGGTCAGCAGCACACTCATGGCTCTGCCTGTGTGTGGAGGCCCTGCCCTGCACACTGCTGGGCCAGTCCCGCAGTACTGCCCGAGCTGCACAGCACGTTTCACATGAGTGCCCCCAGGCTCTCTCCCTTGGGGGGTTGCCTGCTCAGGGACCCCACAACCATGCAGGCAGCAAAGGACAGAAGGCTCTGCAGACCTCGAGGGAGTGAGGCGGGGTGAGCGTGCGTGGACTTTTCTCCGCTCATCCCCAGGGACAGACCTGGTGCTGGGCGGCAACAGCAAGGATCTGACAGGCATTTCCAGCCCCCTGGAGGTCACAGCAGTCCAGGGTAGGAGGTTTCCACACAGTGCCAGCAGCCACATGGGCCAAATGGCTAATGAGGAAGCTGAGGAAGCCCAACCAGGCACCGCTTTCTTTTTTTTTTTTGTCTTTTTCCTTTTTATCGGTACCGGGGATCGAACTCACGACTGCCTGCTTGCAAGGCAGGTGCTTATGCTGCTGAGCTAAATCCCCAGCCCCCAGGCACCACTTTCTGAGAGGGGGACAGGACAGCAGGAGCTGAGCTGACCAGGGGTGGGGAGTGGCGGGAGCAAGACCAGAGATACCACTGGAATGCTGACGGCGCCTCGCTTTCATTCTGCAGCGGCAGCAGCACGCAGGAGCAGTCTGTGTGTGTCTCCATGCCCTGGCGTGCAGCCCAGGGTGACATGTCTGTTCACTGTGTCCTTGTGCATTATGTGGGGCTTCCGTGTGTGTCCCGAGGCCTGGCCCACAATTTCTAGCTCAGCGCTAACTCTCTTCACATCCCCAGGTTCACGCACCCATCGCTGATGCTGGGCTCGGGCGTGCCCGGGCACCCGGCCGCCATCCCGCACCCAGCCATTGTGCCATCCTCAGGGAAGCAGGATCTGCAGCCCTATGACCGAGGCCTGTGAGTGCAAATGGGCTGGGGCAGTGGGTGAGGGGCTGGGGCAGGCACTTCCCAGCAGCGGTTGTCTGTCTCTCAGGAAGACACAGGCAGAATCCAAGGCAGAGAAGGAGGCCAAGAAGCCAACCATCAAGAAGCCCCTCAACGCGTTCATGCTGTACATGAAGGAGATGCGGGCCAAGGTGATCGCGGAGTGCACGCTCAAGGAGAGCGCAGCCATCAACCAGATCCTGGGCCGCCGGGTAAGGCCATGGCCGGCGGGGGAGGAGCCCCAAAGCCCCACAGCCCTGGGCTCCCCTGATGGCCCTGTCCGCTCCTCTCCTGTTCACAGTGGCACGCGCTGTCTCGGGAAGAACAGGCCAAGTACTACGAGCTGGCCCGCAAAGAGCGGCAGCTGCACATGCAGCTGTACCCGGGCTGGTCGGCGCGGGACAACTACGTGAGTGGCGTGGCACCAGGCAGGGTGGGCAGGGAATCGGGTACTGTCCTATCCTACAGGTGAGGTAGGCCGTGTGTGGCCAGGATGTGTCCCAGAAGGAAGGTGCGTGCTCCCCTCCACGCTGCGGCCTGCCATGCCGGGCTGTTGACTTGTACTTGGCTGGGGCCCACGGGGAGAAAGAGGCCTAGAACTCTCAAGGCCAGAGCAGGAGAGGCCGGCTGGCCCAAGCCTCGCCAGGCATGTGCACTCCTCCAGACTGGACGTGCCCCCAGACAGCAGACTGGCAGGAACTGCAGTGGGGAATCGCAGGGCCTTAAAGGAGCAGAGGCCGCTGTGCCCCCGGCCGGCTCTGAACATCCTCCCTGTGCTCCCCGCAGGGGAAGAAGAAGAGGCGCTCTCGGGAGAAGCACCAGGAGTCCGCCTCAGGTGAGGCCCGCCGCGGCAGGAGTGGAGGCCCTATCCACACCTGCGCTGAGCACAGAGGGAGCAGCTCGCTCTGCCGGGAGCATTCATGGCCTGGGCCCCCCATATACGGCCTGCACCTCACAACTCAAATGCCCGGGCAGGCGCACACAAACAGCAGAGTTGGTGAAGGAGCGTGCCCCTGCCCCCTGCCAGCCTGTTTGCAGGAGGCCGCGGCAGAGCAGTTAGGGTATGCCAGTGCATGCTGGCGCATTCTGCTGGGCGGGCTCCCCATCCCCTGCCCCCGTCTTTCAGGGTAACTCTAAGTCCTTTGGAGCATTTGGCAAGTGCGTGTCCTGCTGTAAGCCTTCCCGTGAGCGGGTTCTTGCTCCTAGCTCTGCTGACTCAGCCTGCGCACCCTGACTGCTGGGGGAGGGCTGGGACAACAGGCAGAGTCCTGAGTGCCTACTCTCAGGGCCAGGACGGCCCCTCTTTAGGTGGCAGTGTGTAAGCTATGGCCTCGTGTTAGGCCTTGAAGGGGGACAATCACGGAGAGAACAGAGGCAGGCAGCTGGGGAGGGGTTGACAGTGCCAGCGCAGAAGGGGCTGAGCCTCGCCAGGCGCGTCCACGGCTTCGGCTGTACCTGCCCCAGCCACACCAAGAACAGCCGGGGCTGGGGGGGGCACTCACCTTTGCACCCTGCCATCCTCCCCCTGCACTGCCCCACAGGGCGCCCCGCCCGGGCTGGGGCGTCTGTCACCAGCTAACACTGATGTCCTCTTCTCTCTGGGCCCTGCTCTGCCCCGCTGCGTGCGTGCCTGCCTGCCTGTCTCCTCGCCCCTGTCCTGCTCTGCCTCTCTGGCATGGCTGTAAGCAGACCCCGGCTCACCTAAGAAATGCCGCGCTCGCTTTGGCCTCAACCAGCAGATGGATTGGTGTGGCCCATGCAGGTGGGTTTGTCCCCACCTTCCTTCTCCCTTTGCTTTAAGCTGCTTCCCTGACTGCACAAGTTCTGCTGGGCCTGCAGCCCCACCCCAGCCCCTCCGCCCCCCGCACCCCAGAGGACAGGGGAACCTGCACCCTGAGAGTGCGAGTGCCCTCTGACACAGGTCTGGGGGAACCGCTCGGTCCAGGTGGGAGGCGTATTAGCTTATGTGGGCACCACAGGTGCCAGCAGGCCTGCATGTCCTCAGTAGGAAACCCCACACCTGGGAGCCTGGCCTGGTCACGGCCCTCTAGCCCCCCCACTCCATGGCAGAATCCCTGCCTCTAAAGCCCTGAGCCTTCCATCTGAGAACAGGATGGTGACATGGCCTGGGTGTCCCCAGTCACACAACTTGCTATCTTGTACCTACAGAGACAGGGCCAGAGGGGAAGAGGGGGAGCAGTGGTACCCCAGGGTACCACTACCCCAGCTGAGGGCCGAGGCACCACACAGCAGGCAGTACTCGCAGGTATGAAAGATTCACCTGCCAAGTGGTTAGCTGCGTGCTCAGTTCAGACCAGGCCACGCAGCCCCTGAGGACACGGCTCAGGGAAACGTGTCTGGCCCCTCCCAAGAGGCAACTGGCAGTGGGGCGCCGAGCAGTGCGCACAGTGGGAAACCACCCCATCCTCCTCGGTCCTATTCCTCCACTCCACGCTGCCCCCAAGGCCACTGTAACCCAGAGAACCTGGGAGGTGACGGGTGAGTCACCCATGTCAGTCCAGCCCCAGAATTCCACAATCCTCAGCACTGCAGCCCCTTGTTCAATTCACGTGTTGCTAGCACTGTGGACCGAGATCCAAGCTCACAAACACGAAGCTGAGCTTCAAAGACCCACACTACATGCCCGCAGGCCTGGCTCCAGGAGGTCCCGGCTAGCTGTGGGCACGCTGGGCTGCACTCCCCATAGGAACAGGCCAGGCCTGCCGAGGGGCAGGGCTGATGGAGGTCTGTGGGTGCGGGGACAAGGTCACCAGGCCTGTGCAGGGCCAGCGTGTTTTGGTTGTGGTGTGTGACTATGAACCCACCCTCTGTTTACAGATAACTCTCTCCACTATTCCTAGGAGGAAAAAGAAATGCATTCGGTACTTACCCGGAGAAGGCCGCTGCCCCAGCCCCGTTCCTTCCGATGACAGTGCTCTAGGCTGCCCCAGCTCCCCCGCTTCCCCGGACTCGCCCTCATACCTCCTGCCGCCCCACTTCCCCACAGAACTGCTCGCCTGCCCCGTGGAGCCGGCACCAGCGCCCCCGGGTCTCTCCACTGCCCTGGGCCTCCCAGCCCTCGGACCCCCGCAGGCCCCCTGCGGCATCCTGCAGAGCACACAGGTTCAGCACCAGGAGCCCCAGAGCCAGGCAGCCTAGCACCGTGGCCCCTGCCCCTCCAGGGGCTCAGCCCCGGCCCTAAGAGGAAAGGCCCGGGAAGCTGGTGGGGCCTGTGTGCCCGTCTCGGGCCAGCCCACATTCTCAGCAACTGCCTGTAAACTGCAAGCAGTGGGACCAACTCATCAGCATGGCATCTCAGTAGGGGCACTGGGGCGACAGCACACCCACATCTGTTTTGTTTTTGACCACTGGTCTCTGATAGCCAATGCCCCAGCCTCCCTTGCCTTTGTGCCATAGGTTAGGTGGACTGGACGGAGCCCAGCCACCCTCCTACCTGTGCCTCCCTGTCCCCCTGTGCACAGCCTCCCCATCCCAGACACTTCCTGGAGCAAGAGTGAGCTGGTTTAGCAGGCAGAACCCACAAAGCTCGGACTAACAGCTCCTCCCCGGGCCCGGGGGAGCGCTATTCACACAGAACAGCTGCCGCCTGTGAGCCGACTAGAGGAAGGGGAGAGGACTTGAGGCCTGTCCACACGGCCGTCCTGTAGTTCAGAGGACGTGGACATGTTCCTGAGAAACTCGGCAGCGCAAGCAGCTCTGACGCCAAGGCCCAGTTCAACAGGCCCCACTGCAGTGCGTCTCCTCTCACAGCGCCATGGACAGCTGAGAGCACAAACCTCAGCCTCCCAACAGCCAGCGCCAGCGCCTATCTCCAGCTGGCTTTCCCACGGGCTGCAGGAAGGAAGGCCATCACTACCAGCGCAGGAGTCCAGAAGGCGCTCGTGGTGGACAGGCTGTCACCACAGCCCACTTTAATCCATTTTTGAGCCAAGCTTCAACCCTGAGCCTTGAAAAACAAATCTTTTTCTAATTTAATGGTTTTGGTTTTTGCCTCCTCACTATGTACATAACCTGAAGCCAAAGAAAAAGGGTCCTCCCTGTATTCACACTTCCCTCAATAAAAGCCTTAGTCCTACTCAGAATCCAAAGTTCACATATTCTAGCTTAGTGTCGCAACAAATCTTAGAAAAATAGGTCAATGTAGCAAAGTATTTTTATATTGTTAATGCATTATCATAGAAAAAAATTTTTTAACTTGAGAATAAAGATACTTTTTATGGGTTTGCTTCCAAGTCTGATCCTGAACAAACCGAGTGACAGAGTGGCGCTCATCCTCCTCCCCTCCTGTGCAGGCACAGGGCTGAGACTCTCCACTGGGGCATGCATCCTGGCTCTGCAGGCTCACCTGTCTTCACAGAGAGGGCCTGCTCGCTCCTGCAGCCAGACTCATGGCTAGGTTACCAGCTCCCATTTGAGACCTAGCCCTTAATCCTACGACCCCACAACAGCATGGGCCAGACTGCTCCCCAGTACCCTGGGGAACCTGGAAAGAGTCCAGCCCGAGATGGACCATGACCATGAGGCTCTGCTTCCCTGAGACAGAAAAGACACACTCCACATGTGTATCTATTTCAAGGACGACAAAAGTTCCTGAATCTGCTATTGTCATAAAATCTTTAAAGATACTTCGGTAAGCATTCCGTTGCACTTAACTAGTTCTATACAAGTGTGATGATAATCCACAACCTACTTTTATTTTCGGTACCCTGAATTAAACTCAGGACCTTGGCTAGCCCCACAGGTGCGTACACTGCTGAGCTGTATCCCCGGCCCACAACCTACTTTTCACACGGCAGTTTCAACCACAGATATGTAACTTCCTGAGACCTTTGCCAATGTGAAGGTACACAGCCATCTCAGTAAGCCAGACAATCACAGATACAAAATGGTGGGCAAGAACTGTTCCACAGAAGATCCCCACCGGGCTGCACACATAGTTCCTGCATTTTATGTCAAAAAACATGAAGTCATCTTCCAGAGTAGTGTCTAAAGTAGGTCACTGGAGGTTGTTATCCCAGACTGGCGTCTTTCTGGGAGGGTGCTGGTCTACTCTGGACATCTGTCCCATTTTGAAGTATTCTACTCTGACTACTGGCCTAGTTGTTTCAAAAAACTACACTCTAATCAGGGCTTATGCAAGGCTTGGCGGTTGCACCTGATTTGGTGTCTCATTCGGACAACACCAGGCCCATAAACAATGTACCCTTTGTGTAGGTGGGGAGGGTGGTCAGGTCCTTGGCAATCTTGTTAGAATCAGGCCAGCCTTTTAGAAAAAAACCTGACTTCAAAAGGGAAACAAATCCTCCAAATCACACCACCGCATTCCTATGAGGCCAGAGGGTGACCTGAAATTGCAAACCCAAATTCAGCTTCCCTCCACATAACCAGGAACCAACTTCATTTTGAGACTCTACAGGTCAGGACACTCTTCCATCCCACCTTCTTGTATCCCTTCCCAGACAACTGGCAGACCAAAGACCTCCTTGAAATACAGTAATACCTCAGTTCATGAACTTTCTGCTCCTGAACAGAAGAATGCAGCAAGATTTTGCTTCTGTTCACAAGCTCTGCATCAGCTGACACACCACCACAGCCATCTTCCCTGGAATCGGCTGACACACCACCACAGCCATCTTCCCTGGAATCGTGGGATGAATTTAGTTTGTGAACCGAAGCACCACTGTATAGATCTCAGATGCTCTCCACTACTGCAGTGTCCTTAAATCAGGGACGAGTGGATACAGAGAGGGCCTTTTCCATGTCTCCTAATTTCAAAGTGTATCCCCCTTTCCCAAGAACCCAGTGACTAGATTCTTCTGAGCTGTAATTTTTTGTTGTTTTTGTCTTTGTGAGACAGGGTCTTGCTATGCAGTTCTGGCTGGCCCTGAGCTAACTTTATAACCCAAGTTGGTCTTGAACTTGCAACAATTCTCCTGCCTCAGCCTCCCAGCTTAAGCTGTGACATTCAGTGAAAAGCTGAGAAGCCAAAGAATTATCAGGCTTCATCACAAAAAAGTACCACACTGCAGGCAGCAAGTATGTACTTTCCATTAAAAGAGAGGTATAGAGAGCGGTAATAAACATTCTTCCATTCCAGCTGGGAGTTACCCAAGTCTCCGAAATCCCTTCACTATCTTTCCTAAAGGGCACAGTCCCTGAGGTTAATCACGATTGAGTTATTGGGCCAGGAATACAACTCAGGAGCATGGCACCTGCTTGGCAAGTGTGAGGTCATGAATTCAAGTCCTAGTACAAAGAAAGACATCCCTCTCTCCAGGAACCTGTAAGTGGAACATGTCTTCACAGTGCATCAACAGTAACCACTTTCCCACAGACCTGTCCCCAGCTCTCCCCTGACGCAGCACTCTTCCGATATATCAGTAGGCTTTGTAACCTGTATTTTAGGGTGACTTCTGCTCCTTACAGAGAAATGCATGGAGCAATGCTGCTAAATAAAGTTAAGTCTTGCCATCCAACAGCCTGTCACTGAACCTTGGAACAGCTAATAAGCAAACTGCTTTAGATGGACACTACACATGTATCAGTATACTGTGGTTACTATTTTCAACTTACACAAGAAGCAGAAGCAAGGCTCTGGTTGCAAGGCAAGGCTTCATCCTACCTTTGTTTAGAACACTTGAGAGGTAAGAAGGTAGAACCAAGTGTGCCACTGAAGACTGAGATCTGGCCTGGCTGCTATGGATGGGCAAAGGCCTCTTGCTGCAGGGAAGAGCCTGGGACACTCTCGACAGACTTATTAAAGGAAGAATGGACCTATAGCAGGAAACAGGAAAAAGGAGGTAGGAAAGTAGAGCTATAAATTGCCTATTTTCTGTTGGGTGAGCTGTCCCGATCTCTTATTATATGGTTTTAAGATTATTGGGAAGTTTTGTTTGGACTCTTAAGACCCAGGCATCCAGTATCCAGCTACTCAGGAGGCAGGAGAATCACTTTAGCCCAGAGTTCCAGACCAGCTTGGCTTCTGTCTACTTTATGTCAAGAAAGGAACAAATATGTACACCACCACTTTGTCCAATCTTTCTGAAACATCCCGGCGTTCTTTAGATATGGGTAGTCATGCTACTCCAGCCACACTGACCACTCCTGAGTGTTACACCACCCGAAGGCTAGTACAGTAAGGCTGTTTCAGACTCAGAGGTGGGTACTTCCTGTACAAACCCAATGCGACACATGCACCTTCAGCAAAGACTTGACTCTGTCAGACAGTGGTGGGTATGTTTTTAGCAGAAGCAGATCTTTACAGCAGGAATTGGCAGAGGACAACTCTGCTACTTTCCCTACTTAACCAGGACAAATGGAAAACTTACTTTCTGAGAATGCTCACAAGGGTCAGCAAACTTTCTGTAAAATGAAAGGCAGTAATTAAGTTTTTTAGTCAAAAGCAGTTTCTGGATTTTTGTTTTTCGCATTTTAAATGTTCTATTATGAAAAAATTCAAACATATGCCCAAGCAGATAAAACAGAAAGACAGATTTCTACTCAGTTTCAATAGTTATCAATCCATGGCCGGTCTTCTAGCTATAATCCTACCCATTTCTAACCTCTCCTATTTTGAACAAATCCTGATGTCATCTAAACAATTCACTAAACAATTCACTGGGGACCTGGAAAACATAAGGTCTTCTCATTTTATTGGAAAGAGCACAATCATCATAATACTATTTGTCAAATTATCAGTTAGTTTTGTTTTGAAGACAGGGTCTCACTATGTAGCCCAGCCTGGCCTCAAATTTGCAGCAGTCCTGCCTCTGCCTTGTGAGTGCTGGGATTACAGTCATGGTTATTTTCTGTTGTATATACTTTTTTTATATAAATTCTCAATGTAAAAGGCATTTAGCTCTAACTCTGGTAGAGAAAACTACATTTCACTAGGCTACGGTGACTTTGAGATAAAAAGTGAAAAGTAAAGTTCAACCATTCTATTATCCAGTAATGATCTCAGCCAGAATAGCTCACTATAAATGTGAAAAGAATACAACAGACCAGGAATGGTGGCACACACCTGTAATCTCAGCACTCAGAACGCGGAGGCAGGAGGATTGCTCTGGGTCTGAGACCAGTCTGGGCTACACAGTAAGTTCAGGCCACCTGAACTACATGGTGAGACCCTGTCTTCAAAACAAAACTAACTGATAATTTGACAAATAGTATTATGTTTAAAAAAATAATAATAATTAAATTGTATGTGAACACAGATGATGACAACTATGAAAGAAAGAAAATAGCACAGGAGAGAAGAGTCAAAATATGAGAGCCATCTCAAACCATCAAAACTCATTCACTTGTAGAGAAGGAACGCTACAAACAATGGCAGTGCAATCTTGTTTAGAACTGAAACACTGGCCCAGTTAACCACAGAAATGTCAATCAGAAGTCTCTCTCAGTACCTTCTGGTTCTGTCAGCTGCCTCTAGCAAGCTAGAAAGTGAACTGCCTAAAAATCTTTTCAAACTAAATATATGTAATCAAATTAACTCATTTAAGAGACATATTTAAACCCACAAAAGCAAATTATTTACTACCTACTACATAACTACTTTTTATTGAAAGTATCTTGCACTCATGATTGATGTTTTCTGGGTTTTGCCACATATATTAATATTAAAGGTTACATTACCTTTTACATGCAAGTAGTGTGAATAGTTTTCCCCACACAGAAACAGTGATGAGAGAAAGATGACATACCACATGAATTAAGTGTTGTCTTTAATTGAAAAGCTAACAAACTATCTAGTTACATTTCTCCCCCAAACCACAAACTTGGTAGTTACTGAATCTCTAGGCAACATATTCAAAGCTGAGAAGATAAAAAATTTAAAAACAAATAAAACAAGTCCTCAGGTCCAACTAAGGCAGCCCTGCTACATCCAGGCTACTCTATACCAGTGATACTGCTTGATGCTAGGAGGTTGGAAGACGTCCTAAATAACCCCACTTGGAATAGTTACTTCAAGTAGCCTTTTTCCAGTTTCCATCTTCTGAATAAAGATAATATTTTGTTAATTCTATTTCAGAAAACTTTCTGCAAGTTGTTTTATTTACAGTGCCAACTTTTAAAAGCTCACTAGAGTTAAATGGACAATAAACAAAAAGAGGGAAAGCTCGAAATGTCGACTTTCTACACAGAACCCACAGTTCAGTTTTTATTCAGAGTAAAGAAAAACAGCAATTTTTGCTCAGACTAGAAGAAACTCAGCCACTGGTTTGGAATCCGTACTCAAACTACACATGCAATGAGGACAATTATTATGCTAATACAACTGATTTGCCGCTGCATTTGTCTATTGTTTGTCTAATATTAACAATTATAAACAGAGCAGTGCAACTAGTATTTGGAACAATCCTTATAGTGTTACAGTGTCAGGCACAACTTTTCACTTCTCTTCACACCACTGGTTTTCCTTGCGTACCTAGAAGAGACAGAGATAAGCAATACTTTAACTTGAATATTCTTCTAAGACTTGCATGCAGCCCATACAAATTCATCAATCGCCTGCAAGATAAGATAGACCCATAACTGGAGAACTATCAGGTTGTAAAGATAACTCTTGATTCCCTTTCTTTGTTTCCCCAGGTTTTTATTCTGCTCTGCTGAAATTTTCAGAAAAGTAAAGCAATGAATTTGTCATCAAAGCTGGCAGAGCACATTCAGTTACTTCACATAATTTCTGTTCAAACTAAATCAACAAAACATTCTGATCTATTCATTTCTTCCCATTCACTAAGCTGCTCTGAAATATGCAACACTCTTGCTTTGGGTCTGCTTGAATCAAATATTTCTGGCTTACACAAAAGGCCCCAAAAGTGCTAAAGCTAATGAACTAATATGAAGTAGTTCATCTGGATCAAACCCCGTTTTTTTATGCTTAAAAAGGAATAGTATCATCTAAGCCTTTAGACTGAGATCAGTAAGAGCACAAGCAGGATGACACAGCAGTACTACTAACCCCAAGCATCAAGACTCCTTGATATAAGTATCTCTTTCACTTTCATAAAAAGCATGTGATCAAAGATAAACTATATGCTACCTACCTGGGCTTCCTCCTCTTCAGTGAAGTCATTTTTGATATTAAAAGTCTTGCGAATCTCCTCAGGAGTTTTCCCCTTGATCATATTGGCAACAGTCTTGCATGTAACATCAAGCAAACCTTTGATGTCTAGGTAGTTTGCTGCCTGTAAAATGATAGTTTTCATTAAAGTATACTAGATGTTTTAATCTAAATGCAAAATTAGTTACTGATAATCCATACCTCAAGTGCTATGTTAAGAAATTATCATTTTAGGAAATTATTTTTTACTCAATACTGTCTTATTCAGCAGGATGTAGTGGTGCACTCCTGTAATTCCAGCACTTGGGAGGTTGAGGCAGACTGATCATTGCAAGTTTGAGGTCAGCCTGGGCTACATACTGAGTTCAAAGCTAGCCTGAACTACATAATGAGACCCTGTCTGGGAAAAAAAAAAAATTTAAAAATCTTAGTCTTCTGCTTACTTTAATTATAATTTTTACTACCCTTTTTGGCAAAACTAAGAATAGAACCCAGGGTCTTTGCCCTGGACTACATTCCCTGCCACTTTTTTTTAGGAAGACAGGGTCTCACTCTGTAATTCAGGCTGGCCTTCAACTCACTATGTGGTCCAGGCTAGCCCTGAACTCATGGCAGTCCTCCTGTCTCAGCTTCCCAGGTAGCACACTACAGGTGTGCACTACCACACCTGGCTTTCTTTTTTCATTTTTTGAGGCAATCTTGCTAAATTGCCTAGAATGGGTTTGAACCTGTAATTCTGTCTCAATCTCCCAGCTCACTGTTAAGCTCTTTCCTAATACTGGTTATAAATGCTATCAATTTTCCTGGAGCATTGCATTAGCTGCATTCCACAGAGTTTTCAAGTGTTTTACTACTATCTAACTGAAAATTCTTTTAATACTGAAGATTTTTCTTTGACCTATAAATTACTTAGAAATTTGTTAGCTCTTTCGGTTACTGATTTTTTGTTGGTTTGGTTTTTTTAGAGGGTTTCATTCTGTACACCAGGCTGGTCCTGAAATTGCAACTCATCTGTCTCATCCTCCAGACAACTTGAACGAAAGTTGTCTTATGGTCCAGAACACACATTACCCTGAAGAGTGTGTATGCTGCTATCCTTACGGTAATGTGCTATAGATATCATTTAAGACAAATTAGTTAATAGTGTTATTCAAGTCTTTTGGATCTCTACTAATTCTCTACCTACTTCTGGTTAGTTAAGAAACAAGTATTAAATCTCTAACTACACTTTTTACATTTAACTTTCTCCCCCTTCCCTTAGTTTTTGGAAGCTCTGCTTCCGTGTAGATGTTTGTGATTATGTCCTACTAACAAACTGATAACCTTATTATGAGATGCCCTCTTGTTTGTTTGTTTGTTTGTACCAGAGATCGAACTCTGGACCGAGCACTTGCCAGGCAAGCGCTTATGGCGCTGAACTACATGCCCGGCCGAAAGAGCCCTCTTCACCCCTGTTAACAGTCTTTGCTTCAAAATTTTTAATACAGTCATTCCTTTTTTTTTTTTTGGACTAGAGCTTATTATCATGTTTCCCCCTTTCCATCCTTTAATTGTGCCTTTATACATAAAAGTTTCTTATAGACAACACAGCTGAATCTTGTTTTCTTAAATCTGATCTGACATCTCTGTCTTTTTACTGTTTTGGATCATTCAATTTGGTTACTACCATGTGAGTTGTTTTTAAAAATAAATGTTTACTAAAAGGCAACTATACTTCCACTTCATGGTAACAAACAAAAACAAAACGTATTAGTTACAACAATATTAAAATATAAAAGTGATAAATCTCACCACAAATGGATTTAAATGTAAATTCAGACAGAATTAGATTTCAATGCCAATGAATTTACCACATTTAACTCTGTAATAATTGGCAAAGGAACAGAATTAATACATTAAAAACATACCAGAATAAGTTCAAAAAGGGTTCCTTGGTCAACTTTCAGGAATTCTTGGTCCCAAACAGGGATATCATCTGTTCGCTTTTCTTTGTTCTCATCATCCTCAGGAGGAGGGGGGTCATCCTTGTGGTGGGTACACCACTGAATGACCTGTAACAAAAAAGTCCAATTCCTATGTGGCATTTTTCACATGGTTTCTGCTGGGATAGTTAGAAACTGACTTGAAAAGTAAATTACAATTGGTGTCTTGATTCATGAACTCAATTCTTTCCACAAGTCTGGTTGCAACCAAATTGCAAGTGTACACACACTATGCTTGCAATTCAGTTGCAACCCAACTTGTGAAAAGAATTAAGTTTGTGAACCAATATAGCACTGTAATAGCCAAACTTAAAAGTAAAACTGAAGCTTAAAGAATCTTTACAATCCTAGAAGGTAGAAGAGTTTGTTAGATAAAGGCAAACTATACAGTGTATATATTTGACTATGTTAAAAAACTTCTGTGAAAAAGAATGATAGCATCGGACTGGAAACACATCCTCAACAAGTAAAACCAACAACTGATTAAGAACTACAGAATATAAAATCTTAAAAAATTACTACCAAGAAATGATTTAAAGATATAGACAATTAACAAAAAAATGAATAGTCAAATATGCTCAAGCTCACTCTATCAGAAATATAGTCAGATACTAATCTAGATTTACAAATAAATCAACATTCTGACATTATTAATTACTGGTAATAGGGGAAACAAACCCCCCATTTTTCTAATTCAAGATATAAATTTTTTTTTTTTTTATACCAAGGATGAAACTCATGACCTCGTGCTTGCCAGGCAGGCGCTTATGCCATTGATCTAAATCCCCGACCCTATAAATTGTTATCTTTAAAAATGAACCTAGGATTCTTAATAAATCTATAACCAAGTATGTACTTTACATGATAAACAATTCCACATTCCCTAGGTATGTGCATAAGACTACTGAGTACAATGTAGAAACAAAGCAGGAAAAGCCCATCTGCTTTCTAAGTAAGGAAACAAATACATCTCAAAGTCTGAAGATATTAACAAGATTAGGTACAGTAACATAAAAGACCAAAATCAATACCTACAATGTGTTAAAATTCTAAAATCTAGATAGTAAGTACATGGGTGTTTGCTGTGCAGTTCTTTCAACTTTTCTGTATCTTTACACAGGGATAAAAAAGGGCACAACTGAAAAATTATATTGCCAGGATACCAAAAGAAAAAGTCAAGCATGAAGCTTTAATGAAATAAACAGTATCTTTCCAAGAAGTACTCCAATTGCTGCCTATAAGAAGGATCATACCTACAAGAAGGATCACAAATCTGAGTCCTGGGCAGTTTAGGAAATGCGATCCTGTCTCGAAAATAAAGCAATGGCTATACAGCTCAATGTGAAGGCTGTGGGTGCATACGGACAGATGGATGGATAGTTACATGGATGAAGCTCAGGTGTGAACTGCAAGCCCCTGGATTCAAGTCTCACAATGGAAAAAAAGAAAACAACAAAAAATCAGGGCCAAGCATATAGCTCAGTGGCATAAGCACCTGCCTGGGAAGTACATGGTTGTGAGTTCTATCACCAGTACCAAAAAAAGAACGAACGAACGAACAAAAGAAAGGAAGACCCACCCCAAAACACAGTACTAGAATTCAGAAAGAATGAGATCTAATTAGATAAAGTTTCTACACCATAAATCACATAAACAAAATCATTAAAGATCTTAGGGATGAACCTTGAAAACATTAGGTAGCCACTGAGGTAGTCAAATTGAGAGACAGCAGAAACATGTTACCAGAGGCTGGGGGAGAGGAGGGAATCGGAAGCTATGTCATAGGAACAGTGTTTCAGTTTGGGATGATGAAATCAGCTGGTGATGACGACTAAGTTTTGGAGATGGCAAAAGATGGTCACAGGACCCTGATCAATGTACCTAATGTCACCAAATAGTACTTTAACAAGTTCAACTGGACATGGTAAAACTATCTGTAATCCTGGATACTTGGGAAGATGAAGGAAAGGATCATAGTCTGGGAAAGCTGAGAAGACTCTGTCTCAAAAAACCAAAAAGAAGCCCAGCACTCCCTGGGTTCATTTCTCAGCACGCACCATGCTCTCCCCTCAAAAAGCTAGGCTGTAGTGGCCAACACCTGTAAGTCCAGCACTTGAGGGCTGAGGCAGGCGGATATTCAGTTTGAGCCCAGCCTAAACAACTCAGTAACTTTGTGAGATCCTGCTGCAAAATTTTAAAAGAAATAAAAAAATAAATTTTTGGTGAGTTTTTAAAAAAGTTTTGTTTTTGAGCTAGGGTTTCACTACTTAGTTCAGACTGGCCTTGAATTCACTAAATAAGTAAGTAAAAAACTTAAAAAGCTGTCCTCAGACAAAGGATGAACATTTAGAATATCTAAAGAACTCAAAAAAAAAAAAAAAAAATGAATCAGACCCTCCTCCCCAAATTTAAAGACTCAATCCAGCCAGGCATGGTGGCGCGCACCTGTAATCCCAGGAGACAGGCAAGAGGACTGCTGTGAGTTCAAGGCCAGCCTGTCTACTTGTCAAGACCTAACCCCCCCCCCAATATATATATATATATGAAGAAAAATAAAGCTCAGCATCAGTGGTCACTTGAGAAATGCAAATTAAAACAACAGAGATTCCATCTCACTCCAGAAAGAAAGACTATCATCAAATCAGTAACAAATGCTGGCTGAGCTGTGGGGGAAAAGGAATCCTTCACTGTTGGTGGAAAAGTAGACTGCTACAGTCATTGCATAAATCAGTGGGGAGATTTCTCAAAAAAACTAGAATTAGAGTCGGGCATGGTGGCTCATGCCTGTAATCGCAGCATTTGGGAGGCTGAGGCAGGAGGGTCGTTGTGAATTCGAGACCAGCCTGGGCTGCAAAGTGAGCTCAAGGACAGCCTGAACTACATATCGAGACCCTGTCTCATAAAGACGGAAAAAAAAAAAAAAAAACTAGAATTAGAGAAGTTCCATTATTGACCCACCTATTAATTCCCCAAACAGTCAAAAGCATCATACCGCACACACTTGTTTACACAGCACAGTTTGTAACAGCTCAATCTGGAAAATAGCCCACATGCCCATCGAAAGATGAATGGATAAAGAAAATGTGCTATTTATGTACAATGGAGTTCTACACCCTGCCATAAAGAAGGATAAACTTGAATCGTTTGTAGGAAAGGAGATGCAGCTTGAGACCATAATCTTAAGTGAAATAAAATGGACACACAAGTTTAAATTCTCTACCATTTCCCTCGTGTGAGAAACCCACCCTGGAGCACACTGGAGGATAGCTATTGGGAAGTAGGAAGAACATGTTCAAATGGGAAGGAGAACAAGGGGGAAGATGGGGAAGAGAAGGAAGGAAAAATGAAAAAGAATGAAAGGAGAAAAATGGAAACAAAGCTTTTGTAAATGGGGATGGGAAGAAGGCTTAAAGGGAGGAGAAGGAATAGGGAAACAAACAAGATATATTACGTACAGTTAATCCCTTATGATGAATGTGATCAATATGTATGGCAAGTGTATACTAATAAAATAAAAAATAAAAAGGTCCAGGGATGTAGCTCAGTGCAGAGCTCTTACATTTACTTCCCAATGTTGGGGAAAAAAAGTTAAAATAAATCTTACATTATACATATCTTATTTTTTAAAGTTAATTAGAAAGATAGGCAGATGAAAACGCACAACACAGAATACAAATGCCAACAGCCCATGTTAAAAATGTTCAGGCTCTGAGAATCACTTTTAGGGAGACAGATAACAGGCAACACTGGTAAGAATATGAAAAAAAAAGACAACTGCAGCTCATGCAGGAGTAAAGTCACAAGAGGACACGTAAGCTGAAACAGGTAGTACTCCCTGTAGGAAGAGGCCATCTCTAGATTTGCTCAGTGTACCCAGTGCTCTTTTAGAGTAACAGGCTAATGAAACAGCTTGCTGTGTTAAGGAGCTGTGTGCCCTGAACTACTACCTCCTATTCAACACGGGAAATTGTTTATGCTTAGACACAAAGATGCCTGACTGCAACAAAAATGTCACTGAAAGCACTTTTCATTCTCAACCTCCTACTGGGACACACCCACTGAAAAGAAATTTTTTTCTTTTTGCTAATCACATATTGTTGTTTCAGTAATTTTAGAAGTGCTAATGCAAAAGACAACTCAAATATTCACAATACATAACATTCACAAATAAACTGCAACTAATTTCCAGTCATAATCTTACTACATACCGTTAGAAAAAGGATGCTACACATCAAGCTGAAAGACCACTGTTTTGTTACATAAAGAAAACATTCAAAAGTTTATAGTTTGAGGGCTGGGGATTTAGCTCAGGGGCATAAGTGCCTGCCTGGCAAATGCAAGGTTGGGATGGGGATTTAGCTCAGCGGCATAAGCACCTGCCTTGCAAGCAGGCGGTCGTGAGTTCAATCCCTGGTACAGATTATAAAAAAAAAAAAAAAAAGCTAGGTGCAAATGCAAGGTCATGAGTTCGATCCCTGCTACAAAAAAATAAACAAAAATGTATAGTTTGCTACATTATGAGTAAAGAAAAATATACTTATGTTACTATCTGCATTATAAAACACAAAAAATAAATGGAGGGGTATTAGAATAAACTATTATACATTCTTTTACTGATAGTTTTTAAACAGTTTTTATGTATTGAGGAGGCCAGCGGGAGTACTAGGAATCAAACTCAAGACCTCACACTTGCCAGGCAGGCGTTATACCACCAGGCTAAATCCCTACTTTAATCATTTCAAAAATATAAAGCTAAGAAAGCAGTCATGATTTAAGAAGGTAGTCATGATTTAATACCATGATGTTCTGAAGGATGTTATGTTGATTATTTTGCCAGATCAATAAAAATATTTTACATTTAGATCATCACAGCAAAGTACTTGCAGATGCACCAAGTAGAGAAATATTTGTGTCAATGACAGAGGATATGCCTAGCATGCCCAAACCACCAAGTTCAAACCCCAAAAAATATTCTGGTGCTCAACGATAACAGTCAACTGTAACAGAGCAGACAGGACTTTTTTCTGTATATTACTGTATTGAGAACATTCAAGTAAGTGCTGAAGAAAAGCCAAATGTTTTAGTTTCAATACAGACTGTGCTACTTTGTACTGTTACGAGGGTAGTATAGTTTGAGGACAGACTAAACTGACTTCAACTAAAATACATATATATCCCAGTAAGATCTATACCACAATAAATTTAAATGTGGCTTGCATTTACTTTCAGCCATTTTTGGTCTTAAAAAAAAGCAGTCTCGGGCAACCCACTTTGTTTTTCTCAATAAATATATTCTGCTCTTAACCTCCAAAAAAAAAAGGCAATCTGTATTTTCTTATTTTAGGGTTAGAAGAGTCATACGCTACATTCAGAATACACATTTATATACAGGAACAATGGAAGCATATTAAAGCATAAAGACTAAATCTGTTATGAAGTCTTAAGCATTTCAAGTCTAAAAATAAGTCCCTTAAAGATTTTACGAGGAGGTAAGGTTGTAGCTCAGTGATGGTATATGTGTTTAACAGGTTCGAGATCCTGGGTTCTAGTCCCACACCAAAAATAAGTTTAAAAAGTCCTTACCTTTTTTAATATCGCTGCATTAACGTTTGGTAGAGGAACTGGGTCATCATCTCCTTCATCATCCATTCCCAAATCTAAAAAAACCCAGAGAGAGAGACTATTACTTTTTTACTCCAACTAGATTATGTTTAAAACCCTAAAGGCATAAGACTGGCTCCTGTAGACCCATCCCTTACTTTTCTACTGTGAATTTGTACTTTAGCATTATAGTAGCAAGGTGTGCCTTTCAGGACCTTTACCTGAGAGATACAGGAAGCACTTTATGTGTTTACTCACTTGGTATGCCAAAAGTAGGTACATGTGCATCCAGGATTTGGACCCACCCTTATGCCCCAGCAAATAGTTTTTGTGTATGTTTAACCAAGCATCACAAAGGGTCCAACAGACCCACAACTTCTCAGGATTTGTTTAAAGTTTTCCTTTTATTTTTCTGGTATATGTAATTCAATTCAATACAGTGGCACATGAAAAACCAGATTTGCAAGTTTTGGAGAAGGTCAAAAGTGAATCATCAGATTACTCATGCATGGATGATGCTGATCCATTATGGTAAAATCCATGCTTTCCTAACAGGAGAGTGGTACAGGTATACCATGATGATGACAATGATTTTGACAATGGCCACAAGTGAGCCAAAGTTCCTGTAACAGTGAAATGGAGCAAAACTTGACTGATACAGGAGGAATGCAGATCTCCTTGATTCAAATGACAAAGACAGCAATGTAAGTAGACTCTGACTAGTCAAAATGTTGCAAAATGGCCATCTAAACACCAATTTTTAGGACTAAAAATACAGTGAAGGCCTTAGCAAGAGTGGAACATTAGACAGAATGCCAGCACCGTACTCAATGTTGCAAATTGTAACAGAGGACATGCTACAAGGTGCTATGAAATACACAAAGGCTGAAATGAAAACCACCATATTCAAAAATTACTTACTATGACATCTCACCAGCTCAGAGGTCTGCTGTACTTAGCACAGATTTCTTTGGTGAATGCAGGAATATAAGACTTACAGAAAAGCAATGGGTGAAAATATGGCATTTTTATGGATGTTCTGGGTCAGGGTTTTAGCTCAACAGCACAAGCACCTGCCTGGCAAGCGCTAGATCATGAGTTCAATCTCCAATATCAAAAAAAAAAAAAAAAAAAAAAAAGATGTCCTTGCAGATGTATGTGAAGACTTATTCTTTTAGTTTAGACACTTATCTTGGAACTCAGCCATCAGGTCCTTATTCATATAATAAACCAAATGGTGCTGTGAACAGACTTGTTGCTCCTTACAAAATAATCAAAATGTGACATTCAAGAACTGATTTACCAGTTTCCAGTTGATGTTACATGTGCTAGGGGAGCACAAGGTGACCAGCATGGGAACTGTATGCAGAACAAAGCAGAAACTCCAAACGAAATGTTCCAATTTTAAAACAGAACCTTATAGCTCAATCTTTGTTTCTGAAAGATATAACATCAGCCCCCTATATGGCAAAAAAAAAAAAAAAAAAAAGCAAACTGGTACTGTTGATGTCCATTTCATCATGATAGAAATACTGATAGGAAAACTTCCAATAAAATGGAAGTCAGAGATGGAAACTTTCACCAACAAAACCAAATGTGGAGTAGCTGTTTTTTTTATAAAGTAAGCACCCACTGATGTCACTTGAAACACAAAACATTGGCCAAAAATAGTTGTTTTACTCAATCCTAAACATGTATGGCCTAAGTATTTTCATAATTCACAAAGAAAATAACAAATGCAAAATATCCCAGAGATATTTTCTTAAGAGGATTAAGACCAGAACTCCTAAGAGATCATTTACAGCAGAGAAACACAAACTGTTTCTGCCCAGGGAACTATGCCAGAACACTGTGGAGCACACTGGTGAGTGACAAATGAACAGGCAGGCACAGCATCACAAAGAGCTACTACGACAACAAGAAAACAGAAAAGATGTCAACTGTGTCCTACAAGAAAATACAGGAAAACAAAGCCTACAAACAGTATAAACAATGCTGGTGTATGAAACACACAATTGTACATGAAAACTGCCTGGGTTGTGACAGGTGAAGCAAAGCATATTTCTGTGGTAGACCTTTGTGTTTACACAGTAGTTTATATAGGTTTCTCGTTTTTTGTTTTTTTTTTTTTTTTTTTTTTTTTGTCTTTTAACTTTTTATCGGTACCAGGGATCGAACTCATGACTGCCTGCTTGCAAGGCAGGTGCTTATGCTGCTGAGCTAAATCCCCAGCCCCCTGGTTTTTCATTTTTAATGTTATGTTTTAGGTTTTGTAAGCAAGTAAACAGCTGATGAAAAATGCTGAGGTCTATTCTAAGCACTCATCACATATTTAATAAAGATTTGATAATTTGATAAAGATTTAGCTCAGCGGCATAAGCACCTGCCTTGCAAGCAGGCAGTCGTGAGTTCGATCCCCGGTACCAATTAAAAAAAAAAAAAAAAAAGATTACTGACATCTTATTTTCCTGCTAAGTGCATGTTGTACAATATAGTATAATAAGCTCCTGACAAATCACGAAGGGAAGAGGTACCAAGACTGCCACGCAGCAAAGGAAAGCTAGGCACATATGCTGTCAGTGTAAGCAAGCTGTCATATATGAAGACTGCCTTGGATATGATAGTTGACGCAAAGCTGACTTTTTTTTTTTTTTTTTTTTTTTTTGTCTTTTTCATTTTTATCGGTACCAGGGATTGAACTCACGACTGCCTGCTTGAAGGCAGGCGCTTATGCCGCTGAGTTAAATCCCCAGCCCCGCAAAGCTGACTTTTGTGGTAGAACTTTACTGATGCTTTCATTGTAGTTCATATAGAAACTTATTTCTGATGTTATCTTTCAGGTTCTCTAAGAAAGTACACAGCTGAAGTGAAAATGTTGATACCTACTCTAAATGTACAATACACCTTAAGAATTTAATTTGTTTTATGTTCCTGTTAATTACATACTGCATAATAAAGTAAGAGCCTCCTGACAAAACAGCAAGATCACTGAGATGTCATTATGTGCAATGAAAAGGCCCAGGAAAGCACGCCATGTGCTGGCAGTACAAGCAATGCATGTGTATGGGATATGCTGCTGTTGTGTGTGCAGACTGCCTCAAGTGTGATAAATAATTTTTTTTGTACAGTGTTATTGGTATTTTCACTATAGTTCATGTGGAAATTTATTTCAGACTTTCTTTTTCTTCTTAGGACAGGGTCTCATTATGCAGTTTGGACTGGTCTTCAGCTCTCTTTGTAGCCCAGGCTGGTCTCGAATTCTCAACCATCCCCCTACCTCAGCCTCCCAAGTGCTAGGATTATAAGGGTGTGCCACCGTGATGCCTGGCTTTGATATGTTTTTACACTCTGTACACCAAAAATCAATTGATGTTGAATATTTTGATGCTCAATACTAAAAGCAAAATATTTTCATTTTTTCCCAAGGACTAACCTTATAAAATTAAAATTAATAATTCATCAATAGAAATATATAAACAATAAAAATGGGTCTGAGAGACCCACATTTATGCACTGTGATGGCGAAATTAGTCTTATGCTCCAAAGGTTACACAACTTGAAAGACATGTTGTCTGAAAGAAAATAAAAATTACTAAGAATAGTTCTCTTAAAGAAAATTTAAAATCAGTGTTTCCTAATGATAGGTCCATAAACCAAAAACTATGTAAAGTTGAGAGTTGGTAAATACAAGATTATAGGAAGGAAGTGCTTAGAAAGGAGTACTTTTTAGAAGGAAAAAGGATTTACCAATTCAGGGTGAAGGACTGGGAAACTATCTGGAAAAAAATAACATCAAAGTTGTACCCTATTATTAGAATTATTATTATTATTATTATTTTTTTTTTTTTTTTTTTTTAGTCTTTTGAGACAGGGTCTTGCTGTGCAGTTCAGACTGGCCATGAGCTCACTTTGTAGCTTAGGCTGGTTTCAAACTCAACAATCCTCCTGCCTCAGCCTCCTGAGTGCTGGGATTACAGGCATGAGCCATCACGCCCAGCTATTCTTAGAATTTATACTAAACTCTTCAGACAAAATTGCATTTAGAAAATGAAGCTTCAAAAAATTGTAATAAAATACTGAACTACCCAGATCTGAAGCCTAACAGACAACAGGTTATATAGGAACTGACAAAAACAAGGCAGACAATCCCACTCATACTTTTATTTTCAATCTTAAGTTTTTTCAAGATAGGTATAAAAAGATCTATGTCATCTGAATCAAGTGGGAACATGCTTAAATAGTTGTCTGAAACATCTCCAGAAGGGCACTTAAGAAACTGTTAATGAAAAAAAAACACATTGGGCTGGAGGGCTCAGCGGCATAAGCACCTGTCTTGCAAGGGCGCAGTCGTGAGTTCAGTCCTGGTACTGACATAAAAACAAAGAAAAGAATAAACTATTAATGATACATCCAGCAAAGTTAAAGAGAACGTGGGCTGAAGGACTTCCTTTCCATATATAACTTTTGTTACGATAAAGGCATTACCTAATAATGTTTCCTTGGTAAAGGCAAGTGAATTTTAATGAAAAATATCTTAATTAATATTCATGTTACTTAACATTGTGAATGAAGTATTTTTCAAGACCAAAAGGATCTATCCTCAGCTTCCATACAACTAAAGAATTACCAAGTAAAGTTACTTTAATATTTATCAAATGTTAAAATTAGAGGCCAAAAAAGTTATTACAGTACTGTCCTGGCCAATGCAGACATGGCCATGTGCAATCAAATATTCAAGTCCCTAATACACACCAGGCACTGTCCTAGGCATTGAGTCAATAGTAAATATAAAAGCAAGTTGCAATTTTAGAATTTCTTCCTAAAAGAGGCAAAAACACAAGCAAAGGGAATGGCAAACTCAAGGGCCATCTCACAGAAATGTCTGGTGTGTTCTAAAAGCAGTAAGGGAAAACACAATGCATACCTGTAGTGTCAGGTACTCAGAAGGCTGAGGCAGGAAGATCTCTTGGGCCTAGGAGATAAGGCCAGCCAGAGCAACATGGCAAGACTCTGTCTCAATAAACAAATTAACTACTTACCAGTCCAATTATTTAAATATAGGACAACCCAAAATTCCTTTTGGTTAATTTTTTAAAGATGATATAACAGGAAATATAAAAATGACAATTTTCAGCTGGGTGTGGTCGTGCAAGCCTGTAACCCCAGCACTCAGGAGGCTGAAGCACGAGGACTGTTGCAAGTTTGAGACCAGTCTGGGCTACAAAGTGAGCTTAAGGCCAACCTGAACTGCACAGGGAGACTGTCTCAAAAAGAGCAGAAAAAGAAAAGAAAAGAAAAAAAAAAGACAGTTTTATCAAATATATTCAATATATATATTGAATATAATTTTATCAAATATATTCAATACAAGAATTGGGCAGTTGCCAGGCAATACCAGCACTTGGGAGGCTGAGACAGGAGGATGGTTTCAAGTTTGACAGGAGCGGGGCTGGGGATTTAGCTCAGCGGCATAAGCACCTGCCTTGCAAGCAGGCAGTCGTGAGTTCGATCCCTGGTACCGGTAAAAACAAAAAAGACAAAAAAAAAAAAAAAAAAAAAGTTTGACAGGAGCCTGGGCCACAAAGTGAGCTTAAAGGCCAGCCTGAACTGCATAGTGAGACCTTGCCTCAAAAAAAAAAAGAATCATCAAGCGGTAGAAATGACACCTGCCAGAGCAATGCCTGAGACAGTCAGTACATACGTGTACTGCCCTGGTGATAAGTGACATAACCGTTAAGTAGTTAAAAGACCAAGGAATATAGTATTACTAGACCAGCGTTAGCAAGGAAGAAGTGTAACAAGTAACATGAAATAACGGGAGATGAGGGCTCTGGGACATTGTACGTTTTGAGCACAGTGAGAAGAGATGACAGAGAGCAAGGGGAAGTCAGGGAAACCAACTCTGGGGCTGACTGACATTAATCCATGAGGTAATGGCTTCAAGGTTCATGACTAAGGAGGAAGTAAGAAATTACCTTCAAAATGCATACAAAATTATATAAAGTTAATAGTTGGCCAACAAAAGGGAAGTGAACTGTAAACTCGAACTTTGTTCGAGAGAACAAAGTTTATATCATGAAAAGTATAGAGTTGCCACCGGCACCTTGAAGGGGGAAGACTGTCAGAGAAACTATTATTTTTAGGAAGAAGGGATCAAGTGCTCTGGTTTCCTAAATGTAAAGTATCAGATATTCAAGGACGGCTGTATATGCAAGTGAAGCTATCAAGAGATGAGACGAGCTCTGACTTGGATCTAAAATGCCCCTAGTCCCTACTGTGTTTGGCAAGTGACTGGATCATGGGGCATTACAGCCGGCTTGCTGTTGGAGACGACAGGGTCTGATCAGGGTGAGGTCACTGAGGGGTATAACCTGGAGGACGCAGCTCCTCTCCCTACTCCTTCCTTCACCCTCTGCCTCCTGTCTGTGAGCAGCTTTTCTCCACCACACCCCTCTGCCATACTATCCTGCCTTGGAGCCAGCTGACCACGGACTAAAACATGAGAAGATAAACCTCTCCTGCCTTAAGTTCTGTGGGCCAGGCATGGTGTCTCAGTAACATTAGTAACTAAGACAATATCAAAACCATAGATAAGCATGGGAATTGGAAGACAATATCAAAACCATAGATAAGCATGGGAATTGGCATAGTGATGGTTTTATAACCAGTGAGGCGACAACTAAAGGAATGACAGTGGGTACAGACATAAGGAAGAGGTCCAAGGATTCAGTTCTGAGGGAATATGGGCTGTAAAGCTGGGAAAACAGAAGGGTGTGAGTAAATTAAATATCCTGGGAGCTGGAGATTTAGCTCAGTGCGTTAAGCACCTGCCTGGCAAGCAAGAGGTCATGAGTTCAATCCAAAAAAAAGTGTTAAAAAATTAAATCCCCTGGAAGTGAGAAGTATCAAATGCTGTCTAGATAAAAACCAAAAACAATGCACTTGACCAAACAAAGGTTGTTGAGCTTAATAAGCACTTCCAGTGAAGTGGTAAAGAGGACATTCAAAAGCAATTTAATCCAGCTTATCATGTATGAATGAATTCACTCATCCTCCTTCCCACCAGCGCTTTGTCCCTTATCCCCACTCAGCTTACAGTAAACTATAAAATGACAGTATCTCTCATTTGCATCATTATTTATGTTCTTCCTGAACAAATGTGTAATATTTTTAATCAAAATACAGAAAGAAGACACATTACATAAAATATTTGTGTTGCTGAATTAAAAAAAATTTTTTTTGATCTTTTTCATTTTTATCGGTACTGGCGATCGAACTCACGACCGCCTGCTTGCAACGCAGGTGCTTATGCCGCTGAGCTAAATCCCCAGACTAAATTTTATTAGTTGGGAAAACACCACAGAAAACCAGACTGCATTCAAACGTTATCTGGAAGAAGACCTAAAAGTCACATTAAAGTTGTTATGGTTGTAAATGATTACTTCTCTAGCATTTAGATATACAATGTTTTCTTGCTTTTAGACCAAATACACAAAGAACAGCAGTTATTCCTTTAAGCTACTTAGTTTCAAGGACTTCTGAAAGACTGTGTCCTGATACTGCACCCTGGACCTGAACAAGTGAGCCAATGCACATGTATGCATGCCAAGATTTCCACTTCTGACTGTCCTGTGACTAGAAAGTTTTGTTTCCTAAGTCATAAGCAACTCTAACCAGAAACACTGTAGATGCAAAACAAGAAAAGCAGTTAATTATGCCAAATTCACAAGACTCCAGACCTCAAGATTCTAGAAACCTATACACACTACTGGTACTTACGATGAAACCATTCACCTGAGTCCCAAAGGCTATGGTCAGAAAGAATCATTTAATTGCTATCAGTCCACCTGCTTCAGTGATCAAAGCTAGCATAGAAAACTTTCAAGGAGCTCTATGTTCTCAAAACTGGCAAACCGTCTTTGAAGTAACACAGGATAGGTTAGTGTGTCAAGCATCAACTAAAAGAAATAAAGAACACTTTCATTACCAAAGCAAATATTCTGGCAGCTATTTTAATATCACTTTCTGTATCTTTCAGATAAAGCCTTACTCACCTGCCTTTACAGATACTTGGACTGCTTTCATAATTTGGGGGAGGGGGAATACCAGGAATCTAACTCAAGACCTCATGTTTGCCAGGCAGACACTGTGCCACTGAGCCATATCCCAGGCCCTGCTTTCATACTTGTTTTTGTTTTTGGTACCAGAAATCAAACTCAGAACTTCACGTTTGTCAGGCAGGCACTGTGCTATGGGGCTATATCTCCAGTCCTTTTACATACTCTTTTTTTATTAGTGACCACACCAATTTCTTCACCCAATGAGTACGTGATGAACAGTAACCACGGGATGCACCGAAGGGTTTATAACCTTAAAGTCATGACCTACATTAAGTTAGTAGGATATGGAACTGCAAGTACCACATGACTGGTACCAATTACCAAAAAAGAAATCAGTTTTTATCAGAAAACAGAAATCATTCATTTAGAAAATTGAAGACACACCCCCGCAATTCAGCTTCTGCCTCTGCCACACCTAGTACCTGTTTGAAGTCCTTTAACAAATACAAGATCCTTCTCAAGTAGAAGGTATACAGTGTATGAGTCTGGCAATCACTGTAGTTACCTAGAAATGTTCCCTCTTCCCTTGGCTTTCCATGAGTCCTACTCCACTGATTATCTAGTTCAGGCGAATTTCTTATCAACCCAGCCCTGTCTAACCTCAGCTTTCACATGGTCATGCTCCCATAATTTATTCTAGAAAGCGAGTCCATCTCTAGCAGTCTACAACTCAGGTGTCAAGAGTCACATTCTCAACTGTCTAGGAGATTGCTACATAGATCTTTTGAAGAAACTGCAAACACACTCATTTTCTTCTCCATTCCTCTCATTCACAGCTCTCTCATTCGAAGTATCAGAATCCCATCACACCCCAACAAACCTCAGCTAAAAACCTCAATTTTACTTTTCTCTAATTAATCTCTTGTCTACTGTACCTCAGAATGATCTCCCAAAACATTCTAGTTTTACTAGATTTGGGGAGTCGGTTACCTGAACTCAAACTCAGGACCTTATGCTTCCCAGGCAGTACTAGATTTGAAGTAGTTAACAACTTACTAGCACAACATACTTTATACTGCAGTTTATCCAAAAGCCTAATAACCTCTGTCAAGATGTTCCCATAGCACCATTTAGCATACAACTTGATTAATGTACTAATTACAGCAAGTGACAGTTAGCTGTGTTTACTGTTTGCTCCCCTCCTACTTATAAATTTTTCAAGGGCACAGATCATGACTCACTTTGCCACCAGCATATAACTAGCACTTGTACATAACCCTTCTCTCTTCATATAAGTACTCATAAGCTTCAGCTCTTTCCTATGTAAAAATTAGTGACAACTGAGGACTATAGAATATTTTTATTTGGGCCAGGGGTTTAGCTCAGCAGCACAAGTGCCTGCCTGGTAAGCAAGAGGTCATGAATTCAATCCCTGGTTTAAAAAAAACAAAAAAGTATTTTTATTCTTATTCCAACAATTTTAAGTACTGATTGGTACACCACCTGCACATGATTAATGCCTATCAATCCACTGGTGGCACTAAGAGAACATGTTAACTAGTAAGTTTCAAAGCCTGTATTCTTGCTTGTTTGTTGTGCTGCATGTAGCACACCAAACCAAAGTTTCAGACCAAAGAGACAGCTTTTTAGAAGAAGAAAAAGAAAAAAGCTTATTCCCTTTGATGAAACAGGGTGCTCTGTTTAGCTGCCATATAGCAAGACAGCTCTTTTCCAAAGGCTTTATTTTTTGTCACCAGAACTTTAATATCCAAATTTGAAACAACAATGAACCACTGCTTGGAAATTACATCAATCTTTAATGTAAGTTTTATCCATTTTATAATGATATAATACAAACAATACAGGAAGAATGACCTGAGTCAGAACAAGCAATTTGTACTTTAAAAATTTTCACAATTATCTCAAAACACTATTTCTTCCCCTTTCCTCCCAACCAGTTTTCTAATGAACTTACCTTCCAACATGGTCTTGATTGTCACAGATTGTTTGGCAATTTCAACATCAACTTCAAATATCTCTCCATCAGAACTCTGCAACTTAATTGAAGGCATCTAAAAAAAGTATTTTGAATGTGAAATCTAAGACTACTTCAACATGACAGTTTAGCTATAGTCTCAGAAAAACCTCTAACTCATTAAATTAAAATCCAGAAGACCTGTTATGGTATATGAAAACAGTGTTTTCTTTAACTGGCTAGTCTACAAGCATTCCCTAACATTTGTATAAATTTCTGTGCCATTACTTTTGATGAAAAATATGTTTATAGGGGCTGGGGATTTACCTCAGTGGTGTTAAGCACCTGCCTGGCAAGTGCAAGTTCATGAGTTCGATCCCTGGTACCCAAAAAAAGAATATGTTTAAAATGAAATGCAAGATGTGATCAAAATATACAATGTTTACATTAAAAACAATTAGAGTAAAAGACACATTGCCATTAATCCATCTCCATTTGAACATATTCCATTGCTGCCATTTTCTGAATTTCTGCCAAATTCTCTTTCACATCTTTTAAAAGATATCATCAAAAATATGGTGACTACTGCTGTCAAGTGCCAGCCAAAATAAAGGCAGGCCTACAGTTTAGCTGGGCATGATGGCATAGGTGTTACCTCAGCATAGGGAGGCTGAGGCAGGAGAATCACTGTGAGTTCAAGGGCAGCCTGGGCTATGTACTGAATTTAAGGCCAATCTAGGAGGTCCAGTCATCATAAAAAACACCCAAAAAATTGTGGTTTGAGGGCCAGGAATTTAGCTCAGCAGCTCAAGCACCTGTCTGGTAAATGTGAGGTCATGAGTTTGATCCCCAATACAAAAAAAAAAAAAAATTGCCATTTATTCTCATTCACCTTATTTATTGGATTTTGCACCATATGACTTCTTTCCCCAAAATCAAAATGACCAGGAAAGGTAAACATTTTGAATAGACACTAATTTTTGTTTGCTTGTTTGTTTTGGTACTGGGGATAGAACTTACAATCTTGCCAGGCAGGGATTTATGCTGCTGAGCTAAATCCTAGGCCCTGTAAGCGTTTTAAATTAATTCAGGGAGGCAGCCTTGACAGTGAAAGAAAGACACAAAAGATAACTTCCAGAATTGCTTCAGAAAGTGGCAAGAACAAGGAGAATACGTATGTTCTAAGGAAAGGAAGAGGGTATTTTGAGAAAGATTAATAACCAGTGTCTTTTATCATAACAAAATCATTTTTAAAAAGTGGAGCATTCGGGGCTGGGGATTTAGCTCAGCGGCATAAGCCCCTGCCTTGCAAGCAGGCAGTCGTGAGTTCGATCCCCAGTACCAATAAAAATGAAAAAGGCAAAGAAAAAAAGTGGAGCATTCATTGTTTTTTACATATTTACCAGCTTTCTGTCTGCCTTTGTGTGTCCACCAAATTCTATTTGAAAACTTAACTGGCACAATTAACCACCTACCAATCTCAGTGTGATAAGTCCAAAATAAACAAAGCTACTCAACAACATAGTCATTACTCCATAGTGGGTAAAGATCCAGAGAGCAAACCAGGATATGCTCACTTATGTCTAAAGCAATTCAAGATTATACTCAAGAGAGTAAAAGTACTTCAGGATAGACAGACGTCAATACATCTTCTTAAACCTCATTAAGGAACCTAATTTCGTATCTTTCATCACTTACAGTCCAGTTGTCCAAGTTTAAGGTCTCCTGGTAAAACAGCAATAATGATAAATTCTTACTTGCTTCAAATATACATTTATTAACTCAAATTAGGACTCATTTTTTAAAATGTAGCTTTTATGTTAAAAAAATTAGGCTATTAACGTCAAAGGACTTCGATGCCGACAAAAATTTTTAAAAACCACTAAAATTAAAAGTTCTTGGTCAATAAAGTCTTACCAGTCTCAAATTCTTTCCTTAACTCTTCCAAGAAAAGAGCAGCAATATTTGACTGCAATATTCAAAACCGCTTTAAAACTCACATAAAAAAAAAGAAAAATCCGCTCACATACAGCTTTTAAATGCCTGTAACTAATCCAGTGTTGTCACCATCTACTTATAATATCTCTGACACATTACAGGTGGCCTGTATTTGAAAATATTGTGAATTTTCACCCAAGTATAGAGTTTGGAATTTAAAACATTCATTGCACCCATTTTAGATTTAAAGACTTTACACCCACTACATCATTTAAAATACTCATTTAGCTTTTCCAAGACAATTGGTCCTCTCCCTCAAGCAAACAAGCTGCTAGAAGGAAGCAAAATGGTAAATTTGTGTTTTATAAAAAGCCACTGAAATATCCAACTCTCACTCATGTAGTTGGCGAGAATCAGATCTCTTTTCTGCTCAGGAACATTTCTGCTTCTCCATGTTACCTACTGCCTACCAATAATACAGTCACCCTCGATAGATAAAGTCCCAGGGCAGAGGACCCTCCCTGTGACAAGGCAACAACGAAAGGCACCCTTAAGACAAAGTACCTTAAAGTGAGGTCGCGTTTTAATTACAAAACACTTAGTTCTAGTCTGTTTCCCGAGCACTAAGGAGGCTGAGGCAAGAGGATCACTGTGAGTTAGACTAGCCTGTGCTATAAAGTGAGTTCAAGGCCAGCCTGAACTGCGCAAGCCCCTGTCACACAAAAACAAAAACTTTGTTCTTACATTCCACAGTACCATAATGAACAGTCCAGAATTATAAGTCTAACAGTTAGTAAAATTACTTTAAATCAAAACAATCATTTCACACTTTCTTGAAATAATTCACGATTGAGATGTGCTTAGGCATAGCCAAATTCGGCTATTAGGTTACTTTTACAGGAGCCTACATCTTATTAAATAACAGGGAAGCAATCGGTTAATCGGTAATCCGATGCACCCTGTAATCCTAGACCTCAAGAGCACTTTTATTGCTACACTTACAGTAAGTACAAAATTTTTTAAGTTCTAGTGGGTGAGATTTTGATTTGACCTTTTTCAAATGCATTTTTTCAATTCTTTAGTCCTGTTCTTGCAAATCGCTTCACAGCTGGCATTTTAAAAAAATGACCCTATCACACGGGTGAGGGGGATTAAAACCCATTTGAATGATCCGAAATTCTGATAACACTTTTTAAACTACAGGAGGTAGCTTTATCCTGTAACACAAAAACATTCTATGTTCCTTGGCCGCCGCCAAAAAGGCCCAGCTCTGGGTTCGGCCCACTGATTTTTAAAAAATGCCCCAAAGACCTTAAGTTTTCTTGAAAGTTGTAAAGAAGGTGAACGTTCGATCACTCCAAAAAGCCGGACACCTCAACAAGTCAGAGCTCCTGAAAACTCACACCACCAGGACAACGGTATCTGTTATTACAACAGGTATTTCAGGAGCTCCGGGCCGTGGCAAAATAACGCAAAGAAATACTGAGGAAGACCAGGCTGTTATCTGCAAAAACTCGCCGGCAGCACAGGTAGAACGGGAAGACAGTGACGCCAGTCACGGGAGAGAGAGAAAGGCGCCGAGACTCCGGGGGACAGCCCACCACGACCACGCTCCTCGCCACAAAAAGCGGGCACAGGCACGCCCACGCCACCCCTCTAAAGCCGCGGACCCCGACCCAAAGCCCCGCCGCACCGCAGCCGCCACCCCTCGCTCCGGAGCTCGGGGCCGCCAGCCCGCCGAGAGAGGCCCGGGCCGCGGCCTGCGCCCTGGACCCGAGCTCCGCGCCACTGACACCCGGCCGCCGCCAAGAAGGCCCAGCTCTGGGTTCGGCCCACTCGCACGGGGCGCCGCGAGGACGCGGGGCCGAAGAGGCCGGGCCGAGCGGCGCGCGTCGAGGGTAGTGAGATCTGACGGCGCTTCCCGGAGGACGGCAGCAGCCATGGGCTGCTCTCCGGGCCTGAGACCAGGCCGGGCCCAGTCGCCGCCCTCCTCACGCAGGCCGAGGCCGCCTTAGGCCACCGCCCAGCCCGCAATCCCGGCGCCACGGCCCGGTTCAGCTCGCAGGCAGCTACTCACGGTGTTTGGTCTCTAAAGAACTGCGGGCCAGAGGCCAACGGGGGGGAGGAGGAGCGGGAGGAGGAGGAGGAATATGTCCTCACACGTTGGAGAAAGGCGGCGGCAGACGAAGCCACTAGAGCGGCGCCGCGCGGCGTCGGCTTTTATAGCAGCGGGCGCAGGCGCCAAGGACCCTGGGACCGGACGCGTCACACAGCCGGCGGGGCTGGCCACAGAGATCGCCTGACGTCAGGGGAGCACAGCAGGGTGGGTTTAGGACACCGGCTGGGAGGCAGCGGGCCCCGCGGACCGGTGGGGAGGGCTTTTCACTCCACCCCTCAGCCTCGAAAGGCACTCGGGACTGGCTCGGATACCTCCGCGGCTCGGAAGGGTCTTTCAGGCAGGGGCTGTCTTAAGCTCAGCGAAGGACCCCAGGAGAAGCCTGGAAACAACAAACAAAACGGGGTGTGGGTGTGGGGGTGTGCTGTCTGCTGGGATGGTGTGTGCATGTGTCCTCTAATGACACAGTCAGACCTACCCTCACTCTCCACAGTAACTCGCCAGGGTGAAATGTTACCTTTTTCTCTCTTTCTCCAATGAGTCCCGAAGCGTTAAGTAGAGAGCTAGGATTTGAACTTTACTCCACAGCTTGGAGTTCCCGGCACTCCTCCTCCCCCCGCCCCTTGACCTCTGTGAAGCTTCCAGACCCAAAATAGCAATTGTTAGGAAACCCAAGGCCTAGAGGGAAGATGCTATCCAGCAGCCGTTCTTTCAGTACATAAGTCACTGGGCCTGTGACATGATAGGCGCGCACACACACACACACACACACACACACACACACCACCCGAGCTGTGTATCCGGCAGCGGACTATGCTACCAGGCCCAGCTAGACAGAGCCCTGTTGTATGGCTTGCTCCCAGGAGGCTGTGATAAGGTCGACAGGATGAAGCAGCTCTAAAGAAAAGGGAGAAGTCTGAGAGCCTTTCCCTGGCCTCACCCTGGTCAGGGATTGTGCAGCTGCCTAGCCGTGCCCTGCTCTGCCCGGCCCGAGGAACAGTACCATCCCCTCCCTAGGAGGCCAGGGCGCCCTGCTCGCTTAGCTAACAGGCACGTGATAGTACTCCTGACACTAGGAGGACAAAAGACGCTTCCACACAGGGCCCCTGAAGAAACCAGAGACCTGCAGCTCCTCTGGGACGGACTGTGCAAGCAAGCCAAGCAGCTCCTTGGGTTACCAAGTCTTTGTCTGCAAGCTGTAGTATCCAGTGTCTGCCAGGTGCCACCGCTGATGACAGAGATGAAAGGCCCACAGCTCCACTTTTTCTCTGCAGCACAGCCCTACCTCCACCCACCCCACCCTACCCCACCCCACCAGCGTCAGGCCTCCTGGGGAAAGCCCACTGCAGCTCTTTGGCCTATGACACATAGGATGCTGCCTTTATAACGTTGTAGGTATCTTCTGCAGCTCAGTGGCAAAACACAACAGGCTTCTTTAACTCGTGTTAAAGAACATTAAGGTACAGGTTACAAAACAAGCTGGTTGCCTCAGGGGAAGGAAACCAGATGGCTAGGGGCAGGAATTAGGGTGATTTTTCACTTTGTACCCTTTTCAGCCTCTTGGATATTGATCCACATGAATGTAATTACATTTTAATTTTTCTGGCATATTTTTCTTTTACGTATTAAAATTTTTTAACTTTAAGAAATAAATTGGAGGGGCTGGGGATTTAGCTCAGCGGCATAAGCACCTGCCTTGCAAGCAGGTGGTCGTGAGTTCAATTCCCGGTACCGATAAAAAAGAAAAAGACAAAAAAACAAAACAAAAAAAACGGTGAAGAAATAAATTGGAAGCTGGGTGTGGTGGTACACGTCTGTAATCCCAGCACTCAGGAGGCTGAGGCAAGGCAGGGGAATCTCAGGGTGAAGGCCCTGTCAGGGTGAAAGGGAAAAGTGGAGGAGGAAGATAGGAGGCGAGGAGGGATAGGACTTGGTAGAGCAGTTCTCTTGCTGCAGTCTGTTGAGAGTTAATCCTCAATCAGGTAAAGTGGAACACACCTGTAACCCTAGCTGCTCAGGAGGCTAAAGTGGTAGGGATCACAAGTTTAAGACCCCTGAGAAACACAGCTAGATCCTGTCTCAAAATAAAAAAAGGTTAGGCTACGTACCTTCATGGTAGGTGCCCCTCAGTTCAATCCTTAGTGTCCCCCTGGGGAAAAGCTCTCTCAAAAGTTTGTCAAAATAAAGAAAATAAGAAAACAAACAATACATGGGCCTCATGTCAAGGAAAAGGCAGATTTTTGAGCCCGTGCTTAATCTAATGGATCTAATGGGAGAGAGGCGATTTTATCTGTCTTTTAAAATACCAGCTCTCCCTCTGGCTCTTCAGCCCAGGGTAAGTTGAGAAACCCCTGTTAGAGGGCCTCAGTAAGAAAGCACTGGCAAGAAGGAACCAGCCTTGGTCAGAAATGACTGGACCGGCTCCGCACTGTCTGGATTCTCCCTTTGCTCCCTTGAGCCCTCCACTAAGGGGGGTCAAGCTGGTGGCAGGGGTGTAGGGGACACCGAAGTGGAGAATGACTCATCCCCACCGATGTATTCACAGTCACTAGCCCCATGAGAAAGGCTTGGCCCGTGAGTCCCCTTGGTTGATATGGAGATGGAAGGTTCGAGAGTGGAACGCTCCTGCTTCCGGAACTGTTCCTGACATCAACCCTTACTTCAATCATCACACAGACCCGTAATTAAAACCTCTTGTTTTAGCGAGGAAGGAAGCACACCCAGTGTCAAACAGTCAGGGAAAAGCCCTGTGGCGGCTCCAGCCCCGGCCATGCTCCCGCTATGACAGCCCAGATAGTGCTTCTAGGCTCACTCCTCAAATGCCAGGAACATTTTCTGGTTTACAGCTGCACCCAGCTCCAGGGTAACTAATGGGCTGGAATTCAAGCAGTCCACAGGGCCAAATCTTGTCTTCTAGGGTACATTCCCAGAGATGACTTCCTTATAAATGTGGTCATCACTGCTACCAAACACTCACAGAATTCCTAGGAGGAGCAGTAGATCTAAAATGGGACCTTGTAGCCTGGAGTTGAGTTTGCAGCCTGTCTCAGAAACTGCTCATGGGTCAGTGTGTTCTGGCCCATAATGATGTAGGGCCCATGATATAGGGATGATATAAAACCTCCAAGTAATATCCAAATAATATAAGGGAAATATAACTCCTGATCTGCTGGATGGCCGATGTAGGAATGAAGTCTAGGAACAATGCAGGTTAAGAGGAAGGAAGTATTTATTGAAAGAAAACTTCTAAGAGGGACAGATGGGGGTCCCAAATGGGTGTCCCAGAGTAAAACTATGAGGCAAAGGGGCTGGGGATTTAGCTCAGTGGCATAAGCGCCTGCCTTGCAAGCGGGCAGTCGTGAGTTCGATCCCTGGTACCGGTAAAAAGGAAAAAGACAAAAAAATTTAAAAATAAAATAAAACTATGAGGTGAGGTGGGAATAAGGTGGGATAAAACTACAATTAACTAGTAAGGTTATAAGTACAGTCACTTCGTAATATTGCTAAAATGGGAAAGCACAGGTGGGTATGCAAGGTGGCACAAAACGATGGCCAACCAGCAAGAGTCCGGGTATAGTCACTGAGGTGATACTGCTTAAGTGGGGAGCAAATGAGGAAGTAGTCACGTGTAGCCAGCACACTTGGCACACACAAGGACTTTCCCGGAGCGGGTGGGCTGAGGAGCCCCTACCCAAGGAGACCAAAGTATGTGGGTGTAGTCATTTCTCTTTGTTCTGAGACCTGACCTTCAACCAACGCATCTCCAGCCAAGTTGTCTTCTGCACTGGCCTCTACGGGCCTGACCCTGCCTGACCATCTTCAATATTTCTCTTCTTTTTTTTTGTCTTTTTTGAGACGGGGTCGCGCTATGCAGTTCAGGCTGGCCTTGAGCTCACTTTGTAGCCCAGGCTGGTCTCAAACTCACAACGATCCTCTCACCTCAGCCTCTGAGTGCTGGGATTACAGGCATGAGCCACCACACCCGGCATCTTCAATATATATATTTTTTCTTTTTTCCAGTACCGAGGATCGAACTCAGGACCGCCTGCTTGCAAGGCAGGTGCTTTTATGCCACTGAGCTAAATGCCCAGCCTGTCATCTTCAATGTTTCTAAATAACTTAGCTCTCTTTATTTAATAACAGCACAGCACGTAAGCAGTAATTCCGTCTGCTTCGTCAAACATGTCCCGGCTACTGCCTGCTGCTGTCTTGTTCTCCCGATACCAAGCTGGGGTTAGCCCCCCTGCCTGTGATGCGATCTGTGGTGGTTACTTCACCTCTGAGCCTTGCCTTCCTCTGTTGAGAAGAGGGAAGTGTGACAAGCTCAGAGGCTGGAGGAGGAAGAGCGTGGAAAGAGAGGGGAGCCCTGCAGTTAGCTGCTACCGTCTGAGACTCTCCTCTTCCTCCACAACCTCCTCAACACAGCCACAGGGAGATCTGAGGACCCACAGGTAGTTTTAGGGCTCTGAGAGTGGAAAAAACCATGCATAGGTCTGTGGAAAAGTCTAAATGCTCTTCATGACGGGGAAGTATAGCAGGGGCCAAGGAGAAGTGGCAGCAAAGGGACCCAGGCGCATCTCTGGCTCACGCTTCTGTGTGCAAACCGTAAGTACCAAGGAGCTGAGAGGGCGGAGCGGGGAGGACGGACCAGGAAGGGGTGTCTGGGTGTCACAGACACAGTGATGCTACACAGCCTGAGCCAGAGATGTGCCACGGGTGCAGACACCTGGGAACGCAAAAGAAAGGAAGGGTGATGTCACATCTTGTATCAAGACGCCCCCCCAAAGCCTGTGCCACTGAGGCGGGGTTCTGGAAGGTGACTGCATGTTTTCGGCGCCTTAGTTGGGTTGCTGTTGGAAGGTCAGAAGAGGCAAATCCCTGGGAGTGTGGCCTGGTTTTCGTGTTCCTCTGCCGACAGCCCCCTCCTGCCTGCTTCTGCCACGGAGCTGGCTGACCATGGACTGGAAATGCCTAAAGCACATGAACCAAACTAAATCACACCTTTAATGAGTTAGTGGCAGGTGCTGAGTCCCAGCAACGGGACAGTGACTAAGGCAGATGACCC